GAAAAAAGAACTAAACAATATGAACACAAAACGATCAGCTTTAAAAAAAGGACTCGCAACTGGAAAAACCGAATGAAAAAAAGAATGTTAACAACAAATACTTTTTCACATCCAACCCAGTTCTGCGGAATCAGAATTAACGTTGAGTTTAAGCAAGCGAATGAGCCAATTGGAATAAAGTGCCATGCAGATTTAAATGTTTCCCACTTGTGACGAATGCAGCTATCGATTATTTCGCATGCTAGCATGGTAGTTAACATTCGTGTCAGTCAGCTGTTGGCTCTCACGCTGGCCAATAGAATCTCCTTGCCTATTCGTGGCAGCCAGCGATAGGCTCTCACTCTGGCCAGTACAAAATGGCCGCAAACTACATGAAAACTGCCGTAGAAGCATGAAAAAATCGATTATTTCCACTATCGATGGGAGTTGGGAAATGCAAAGTCGGTCTTCGCCTACCGCTAAATTGGAGAATGTGCATGTAAATTTTGGTGCAAATCCGTCGAAAATTTCGGCCGTGCATTCGTTACACACACACACACACACACACATATCCTGCCTTTTATAGATAGAGATTATCTTTCAGTTCCATAATATACATATCACGTATGCTGCAATATACACCGTATTTTGAGCAATTAGAGTTGGTTCATTGCGTTTACTCCATGACGTTGGAAATATCTGTGTTGATTCCACATAGAAAAAATTTAATATGAAAATAAAATATATAAACAACAAAAAATAAATAAATAAAATTACAATAAGGCATTTGGTTTCCTTTAAAACACATATCACTTTTTCGCTCGCTCTCTTTCTCTCTTTCTACTCCTTTCTCAATATATACTTCTCTTCCAAATAATAAGAAAGCAACCCTCAAATAAAACGAGGAAGAAGAAGAAGAATGAACACGGGTGGAAAACGGCGGTAGTTTCCTGGATTAATGTCTAGCCATAGTAACTAGAAATATACCGAAATAAGAGAGGCTCTACACATAACTTCCGCTATAAAAAATGTGATAGTAAGAGAATGTCGGAAAATAAAATAACTTTGGCCAATCAAAAAAAAAAAAAGAAAAGAAAAAAAGAGACAGACAGACTTTGGGCTACGTGCCAGAAGTCTGGAACCCTCTTTTAAGGGATATACAGAGGCATCCCAGAAGCTGGAAGGGAGACACGGTAGGATGATTTTTCAGACGGCGTCCGCCTGAGAAATCATCCCACCGTGCCATGTGAAGAAACTAAATAGTAATCAGCTTAGGGTATTTTCCCGCCCTTCTGAGGGCCGAGAAAACAGCAGATTGACGTCCGCAACAAGTTTTCAAAGTAAACCCACTCTTCAGTGTTACCAAAGTCCAACTTGTAAATCATCAATTACCGAACCGAACAGACTTTCGCCAACACGCATGGGAAAGAACTCGATCCAATCGAAATCAAATAAATAAATACATATTATTTGTTTATAAATTGGATTTATTCGTTTAATTTCGAAATTTTCGATAGATACTGCGAAGATATGGCACTTCTCCACATAACTTCATTTAGTCTTTCTTTTAAATATATTTAGAACACTTGTCATATAGCCATTTAAAAGATAACCATGAAGACGACTAACGTATCGCGAGTGTTACTAAATATTTTAAAGAGGAGTGTATATAAGTTCCCTCTATTTCCTGAAAATATAACGTTTAATAATTCTTAAGTAATACGTTTATATAAACGCTAATGTGAATTAATCTACATGACCCTGAACCAGTGTAAAACTTCGAAACCAACGGTTTTTACGCATATTCATTGAGGCATGTTATCATAAAAACGTTCAAAGATCGCTTTTTTATTTTTCAATGGCATTTAAAAAAAAAAATGATACAATCAAAATGTCCGAATATGGTAAAAATTCGCTGCTATCATTTATTGCGAAATAAATAAAAATACATCACAATACATTGCAAAATATAAATTTGCATGGAGTTAATTGAAATAAAATCTTCAAAGGCTATCTATCTCGTTGGCAAATCGTATTGAAAAGTTTATCGACCAGAAAACCTGACATGCCACGATTGCTTGGAGAATAATTCATCCTGTTTGATTATATCGGTCAACAATATCATATACATATGTAAGCGATATTTTTACACTTACACACACACACACACACACACACACACACACACACACACACACACATATATATATATATATATATATATATATATATATACAATTGTATATATTGTGATTTTATACTCATGAGCAGATTTTCCTAGTATGTGGCTAGTGTGTGTGAGGTATTTTGGTATATGAAGAAGCGAATGATAACGGATAAATTCTTATCGTAAATGAATATATTGTAAATACTTTCATGGTATTTGCTCCGATGAGCTGCTTTCACTGGTTCCCAGACTCCATGAATTCAAGCGCCCTACGAGGCTGGCATCCCGCTCCCACCATTACACTGTAGAAGCTTTTAAATGTAGCCGTCTCTTTTACTCCAATGGCTTCATACCTCGCACCTCTCGCCTGTGGAACACCTTTTCCAATTACTGTTTCCCTGAGAGCTATAATCTCCAACTATTCAAATGTAATGTCAATCGACATATCCAGTTAACTTGATCTATCCACTATCCCTCTCCTCATCTTTTCTTCTATCACTCCTATCTGCTCTTGCTCCAAATTTTCTGCAACCCCCTGCATCCTAGTGGCTTCAGGCCCTGCTCGGGGCGTAATGATTAAAAAAAAAAAAAAAAAAAAAAAAACAGAACAGAACCTTACTTATTATTGGGAATGCTTTTTGCATTAGCCCAATGGGTGTTCGGATCTTGCTATTGCATTTTTCACCATTTCTTAAAACAGCTCTAAACGGATTCTCCTTCTGTTCCTTTCATACGAACACTGGTGTTCCCAAGGCTATATCTTGGGTCCTACAATGTTCATGATTCTTCATCAAAGATATTTCTGATGTCATAAATTCTCAAGTAGTCATATACGTACATAACACTACCATTTACTCATGTCTCAATAAAAAATCCGGCATTGCTGACAAAGTAAAAAGGAATTCCAATCTGTGGTTGACTGGGACAAGAAACATTAGTGCCTCCAAAACGAAACTGTTCTCATTTACCCACCATAGAGACCATACTGTCTTCTATCAGCATGGCTCATGCACAACTCCACAAGTGTGTGTCTCTGCTCATTGAATGCGATATATGTTCTGGTACCCTCGCTATTCATCTCGAGGTTCTTGACAAAATCCGAAGACGGATAAGCAATGTGGTAGGTCTTGACCTGGCATCTTGACAACGGTCACTTTCTCACCGACATAATGTGGCAACCCTCTGTCTTTTCTATAAATATTTTCATGGCAACTGCTCTGACGAGTTATATTCACTGGCATCCGAACTGCATAAATTTAACCGTGTTTCTAGTTTGGCATCTCACTCCCACATTTTCCCTGTCGAAACCAAAGTAAATTCTTCTCTCGCACTACCCAATAGTGGAACCCCCTTCATTTTACTTGATTACGTGATAGTGTTGCGGACCCGGTAGCGTGCAGTGCTGGTTTATTAAAAGGTGGCCTTGTGCCAGACACTACTTATGACTACCGAATCCCCAAACAAAGTAAAAAATATTAAATGAGTGATCTTAGTAAGGAAAAGGGGTCATTCAACAAGTGCATAAAAAGTAGATAGCCAGGATTAAACGACAAAATGAGTCTGGTAAAAGAACAAATATAAACTTTTATTATTTTTAAACAAGTAAATTGGCTCGACAGTGGAGACCATCAGTAAAGTTACTGGATCTTTGCAATTAATGAAAAGGTTGTGACAAGAGGTCACTGAAGGAATGACAGTGTTCCGCGCCAAAACAGAAAACCAAGATGGCTAAGGCGGGAAAAGTTCTTCCGGAAGAAAGTTCCAGAACAGTCAATTTATACGGAATATTATACATACACAACAAAGAAAATACTCACTGACAGTTTTGTTAGTGTGAGTGTAATGTTATATTTTTAAGGTACTGGTTCATAATCTTTAGAGTTCAACGGATATGAGAAGTTTTCATCCTTAACTGTTGAATGTTTCAATGTTCTCTGGTCATGGATGAAAGCAAGGCTCGAACAAGATGTTGGCTTCAGGTCGAGAAATTAATTGCTGAAAGTTGCATGGACTTGTTGCGATTACACACGACGAGCCAAAAGGGATTAAGCATAATTTGCTGTTAAGATATCCCTGTCTGTATTATGGGTTAACTGACGAGGAATAATGAGCCAACTTATTGGTTCAGTGTTCTGACCACGACTAACTTCGAAAAACCAGTTTGCATTAAGACGTGGATAAGTCTTGGAAAATATATTGAAGACGGTGTCGTAGAACTCTACATTTTCTAGCTGAAAACAGAGGAAAGATCAACATGCTGTTTGCATCAAGACGAGGATGAGTCTTGGAAAAGTGTGATATCGACATGTTGAAGTTTTGGTTAGTTAAGAATAAGATATTCCGGCCCGCGTATGGGTTAGAGGCACGGAATAAATGAGTTGACCTGCTAGCTTGAAAATCGGGCCGCAACTAACTTGAAAACGCTGTTCGTCTGTGACGTCAGGAAACGCGCGGGAAAAAATTCAAATTCTGTTAGGCTGCAGCTGCCTCTCTCATGACGCTACAGAACAACAGTTTACTGCTATTACTAGCTGAACGTGACAGGAAGGGGTGCAAATCGCGCGCTCACACACGCAAAAGGGGGGAATTCACGATTTCACAATAGCGATACTCTTCAAATATTCAAATGTAATATCAAGCGACATCTTTTGATGCCTTATTCTGAATTTGATCCTTTCCTCAAACACCCCTTTTTACTCTCACTCTTCTCGCTCTCCGTAAACCCTTGCTTGCTAGTGGCACTCCCGCCTTGCTTGGGGTGATAGGCTTAATACTTACATGCATTCATATCTATCTATCTATCTATCTATCTATCTATCTATCTATCTATCTATCTATCTATGTAGATGTATAATATATATATATATATATATATATATATATATATATATATATATATATATATATAAACTAGTAAACCAGCTTGATGTTGATACTTCAATTAGTAACATGCATGCTGGGAGTTTTCTCTTGCTAATTTCTATATATTCTGTTTTCTTGCAGTAGATGATCAGTAGTTTGTTTCAAACTTTCTTCTGCAACACGGTGTAGAAGGCCCTGCATTTTTCTTTCCGAGAGTCAGATATCACCACGATGCCATTCACTTATCATACATTAGTTTGGATTACGTTCTCTGATAATAAATCCTGGTAGGGTTTCCAGTTTGCTGAGGATAGCCTCGCTGTTTAGATGGAATCTACGTACAGATAAATCAGAGTTGCACCAAACGGTGAAGAATAAATGTAAATACAAACACACAAAACCCATATATATATATATATATATATATATATATATATATATATATATATATATATATATATATATTTTTGTTTTTTTTTCAGCTGGACGGTAAATATGACGTCAGCTTGACTGGATTGAAGTTGATTGCATCAAACGTGAGAACGACGGAATTAAAAAAAAAAAAAAACAAAACAAAAAAAAATGCGTAATTATACAGAGAACAATACTTGAAAACGAACGAATGGAGAAATATTCGTACAAACACAAGAAAAAATATGAAATGAGAATTAATATGAATTTTGGCAAATTTACCAATAGCACAAAACAAGTTATTCAGAAATTTGAATGATATATTAAAATATTGAAAAAAAAACGACAGAAAATTATACATATATATATATATATATATATATATATATATATATATAAACCGACAGAAATTAATATATATATATATATATATATATATATATATATATATATATATATATATATATATAATGTAATGGATTAAGTCCGGTAATTATTTAATATATATGCTTTTCATACTTTATTTTTTTCTTCATTTAAGTAAATGTTCTGTTTCTTTTTTTCTTTTTAATCAAACAATATTAATTACATTTAACGACCTGCATGTTCGTGAATGTTCGTCGCAAATATGTGTTCTCCGGCAGAAATCCAACCTCTGTTATTATAGGGAAACCGTTTTTGATCTGACATACTCTACAATTCAAATACAGAGAAGCGTCCGGTTACCAAATTCCAAATTACTGTTTTTAAACACACAATTTTCGAAGATTCGATTCGATCGATCATATCCACAACCCAAACCTATATTAACGTAAGCAATATCAACATATAATTAAATGGATTAAGTCCGACAATTATTTAATATATTTCCTTTTTACTCAGCCTGGTATATGTAATTAATACGGTTTATTTAATAACCAGAGTATTTACTTAAATACATTTTATCTATAAATATAACGTATAAACAGAATACACACACACACATATATATATATATATATATATATTAAAAAAATGGATTAAGTCCGACAATTATTTTAATATATTTTATTGTTATACGTTATTTACATAGTCACACATATTGAAGTCAATGATATGCGTATAATAAACAGTTTTAACAAATTGTACCAACATGAACGACCAAGAAACTTTCATAGGATATATATATATATATATATATATATATATATATATATATATATATATATATATATATATGAAAGATATTATGTAAACATTTCTTATATTAGTGTCATTATAAATAACGTATGACAATAATTGGCAGAAATATTTAAGTAAACCCTCTGCGTATAATAAACAATATTAACCGGCCTGAAACTCCGAGACTTTTTGATAGAAAATATGCATCCTTCTACAGAAATCGAACCTGGACCCTACACGGAACCGTCATGTAGGCTGACGTGCTATACCAGTTTAGCTACAGAGGAGCATCTGGTTGGCACGATCCATTTTAATGCATTTAAACTACAATCTTTCATGATTTCCCTCGAAAGATCATATCTGTCGAATCTTATCTAAACGTAAATAAAGACATTACAGACAACCAAATGGACAAAGTCCGAAAATTATTTTAGTATATTTTATTCTTATGCAAGTATTTATATAGACACAAATATTTCAGTAAATGCTCTGTTTTTAATAAACTGGAGTAACAACATGCCCGTGAAATTTCCTAAAAATGAGGACACATATTCCCTATGAAATTTCTCGAATTTTCAGGTTGGTAAATATTGTTTATCCTGTCTATTATGAACAAAGCCTTTACTTATATATCTGTGTCTACATAAATAAAGTATAAGCATAAAATATATTAACATATATGTATATATATACGCGCACACACACATATATATATGATTGATTATACAATATTTATAATAATTTCAGCAATCAGCTTTGTGTGTATATATATATACATCTCTCTCTCTCTCTCTCTCTCTATATATATATATATATATATATATATATATATATATATATATATATATATATATATATATATATATATATATATATATGTATATATATATTAAAAGACATTTTTATGTTTAACGTTGTTATTTATAGATACAAAGAACCTTTCGGTAGACAAGGTCGAATTTACTGTTTATGTTTGTGGCCGAGTTGTCAAGGCACGTCAGCGTATATGATGGTTCCGTATAGGATGCATGTTCGAATCCTGTCAAAGACGAATATTTTCTATGAAAATTTCTCGGACATTCAGGCCGGTAAATGTTATTTAATACTGTTTATCATAAACAGAGCATTTGCTTAAATACTTGTATCTATAAATAACAACGTTAAACATAAAAATGTCTTTAATAAATAAATTGTCGGACCTTGTCCATTTCTTAACACATATATATATATATATATATATATATTGTAATGACTACGTTGAGATATATGAAATGCCTGAATGATATTTTGAAGTATTTGGGAAATAATTTCTGGGATGATGACTTATTATATTTATATTGTTTTTAAGGGAAATATTGCCCCGAACTTTGTGGTTATTAACACAATATTTCCGTCGTTTTACACACCGACATTCAACGAATTACTAGTCGATTCGAGTAACCTTCAGGAAATGTCGAACTGATTCCTTTATTTAATATACCAGCGTAGATTCGTCTCGTTCCCTTGACAATGTCCAGGAATACCACGACTAGTTCTTACTTAATACTGCTCTGTAAGAGCTCACCGTATTTCCACAGCGTCCATATACACACTTCCCAACACTGAAATTTATCTAGAAAATTCTATGCCTGCAAATTCACGAAACAACGCCTAGGCTATTAACCTGTTCGATAATTTTGGAAATATTTCATATCTGCCTATTTTATCTGAATTACATCTCTTGAATTAATTGCATATAAAGTTAATATTGATTGGTTCCTTCAGTATCTGTCTATATTTCTGGTATTGTGTACATTATTTACATTATTCGAACTATTGTCCTCATCTTTGTCGCCATATTTATTACAACATTTCGGCTGCTGTACGCTCCGTCCTTCTTCAGGTTGTTGCAATGTCGAACTGAACCCTTTATTTCGCTCACTGGGGTAGACTGTTCTAATTCCACGTGACATGTTTAATGGATGTCAGTTATCAGTTATCTCCTGTTAATTTCCCTCTGAAAGTTCTCCACTACCTTAACCGGGTATCGAACTCACACTCTTTGCGTCCTGTCACTGGATCCAAGTAACGCCTTTATCCACTGTCCTTGAAGACACATGGAACAGTGGAGCGTACAACGGCCGAAACGTTGTAATAAGTATGGCGACAAAGTTGAGGACAATAGTCCGAATAATGTAGATTGATTTCTTGATACAGCTAGTCTACATTTTTGTGGAGTATTTAAAGTGGGAATATCTTTGTAGATAATAATGAATAAAAGTCGTAATAAGAAAATATGCGTGAGAATATTTTTAGAGATATTAATGAATATAAGTCATAATAGGAAAATATGCGTGGGAATATTTATGGAGATAATAATGAATAAAAGTCATAATAAGAAAATATGCGTGAGAATATTTTTAGAGATAATAATGGATAAAATGCCAAATTAGAAAATATGCGTGAGAATATTTTTTAGAGATATTAATGAATATAAGACATAATAAGAAAATATGCGTGAGAATATTTATGGAGATAATAATGAATAAAATTCCGAATAAGAAAATATGCGTGAGAATATTTTTGGAGATAATAATGGTTAAAATGCCAAATGAGAAAATATGCGTGATAATATTTTTATAAATATTAATGAATATAAGTCATAACAAGAAAATATGCGTGAGAATATTTTTTGAGATATTAATGAATAAAATTCCGAATAAGAAAATATGCGTGGGAATATTTTTGAACATAATAATGATTTTCTTAGAAAAGTCCTAATAATTAACCCATAGCTGGGGGTGAGAAAATATCGATACATAAACCGACAGGAATTTTAACTCGTTTCACTGATTGCCAACTCCTAGCTCTTATCCATTAGACCACTCGCAGAATCGAAAGCACATTAACTGGTATTCCTAACCAGTCACCCATTTAGACAGAAACCAGACTCGACGTCGCTTAACATCAGTAATCGTACAGGAACAAATGTTTCAACATGATACGGCCGTAAACTTGCATATATGTTAATATAAGGGCATTTATTAATATTAATCTTAATTGGTTTCAAGGCTACATATATGTGCGGGGCACTTAGTGAGGATGGGCGCTTCCAAAAATATAATAGTCTGAGCCAGTAATTTGGTAACCGCTACTCTACTACCAAGTGGCATTGCGTCCTTCTTATGACTGAATGGGCAAATACATTTTTGTATATTTTTGTCACTATTTATAAGAATAGAGATCGCTGACTCTAAATACAATGAATAGATTGCCAATGGTAATATATGCAAATTTGGTCAGTTTCCAGACGGAAGACGTGATTTTCAAATCAATTATCCTTGAGGTCAACTTTCTACTTTGCACAGGTCTAATAATAGTTTCTTTTTTTTTAAATACCAACTTTTTTAACATTATTTTCTAAAAAAAATATCATCTAAA